CACACACAAATATAAATTCAAAATAGAAAAAAAACCTAAATGTGAAACAGAAACCATCAAAATCCTAGAGGAGAAAACAAGCAACAACCTCTTTGACCTTGGTCACAGCAACTGTTTTTAAATTTTTTAAAAATTTACATCTAAATTAGTTAGCATATAGTGCAACAATGATTTCAGGAGTAGATTCCTTAGTGCCCCTTACCCATTTATCCCATCCCCCCTCCCACAACCCCTTCCATAACCTTCAGTTTGTTCTCCATATTTATAAGTCTCTTCTGTTTTGTCGCCCTCCCTGTTTTTATATTATTTTTGTTTCCCTTCCCTTATGTTCATCTGTTTTGTTTCTTCAAGTCCTCATGAGTGAAGTCATGATTTTTGTCTTTCTCTGACTAATTTCACTTAGCATAACACCCTCCAGTTCCATCCACATTATTGCAAATGGCAAGATTTCATTCTTTTTGATTGCCGACTACTACTCCATTGTGTGTGTGTGTGTGTGTGTGTGTGTGTGTGTGTGTGTGTGTATACATACATATACAACATCTTCTTTATCCATTCATCCATCGATGGTGGGAATGCAAGCTGATGCAGCCACTCTGGAAAACAGTATGGAGGTTCCTCAAAAAACTAAAAATAGAACTACCTACAACCCAGTAATTGCACTACTAGGCATGTATCCAAGGGATACAAGTGTGCTGTTTCGAAGGGATACATGCACCCCTGTGTTTATAGCAGCACTATCAACAATAGCCAAAGTATGGTCACAGCAACTTCTTAGTAAACATGTCTCAGGAGGCAAGGGAAACAAAAGCAAAAATGAAATATTGGGACCTCATCAAGATAAGAAGCTCTGCACAGCAAAGGAAACAATCAACAAAACTAAAAGGCAACCAATAGAATGGGAGAAGATATTTTCAAATGACATATGGGATAAATATCAGTTAGTATATTTATTGGTTAGTATCCAAAATCTATAAAGAACTTATCAACGTCAACACCCAGAAAACAAATAATCCACTGAAGAAATGGGCAAAAGACATGAATAGACACTTTTCCAAAGAAGACATTTGGATGGCTAACAGACACATGAAAATATACTCAACACCATTCATCATTAGGGAAATACAAATCAAAACCACACTGAAATACCACCTCACACCTGTCAGAATAGCTAAAATTAAAAACCCAGGAAACAACAGATGTTGGTGAGGATGAGGAGAAAGGGGAACCCTTTTGAACTGTTGGTGAGAATGGAAATTGGTACAGATACTCTGGACAATGGTATGCCATTACCTCAAAAAATTAAAAATAGAACTACCCTATGATCCAGCAATTGGACTACTAGGTATTTATCCAAAGGACATAAAAATGCTGAATTCGAAGGGGCACATGCAGCCCAGTGTTTACAGTAGTACCATCAACAATAGTCAAATTATGGAAAGAGCCCAAATGTCCATCAATTCATGAATAAAGAAAATGTGGACACATGTTCCACATATGAAATATGTTCCATTCCATATATGTGTGTATACACACACACACACACACACACATTTATATGGAATACTACTACTCATGAATCATAAAGAATGAAATCTTGCCATTTGCAACAACATGGATGGAACTAGAGTGTATTGTGCCAAGTGAAATAAGTCAAGCAGAGAAAGACAAATATCATATGAGAACAAACTGGAGGTTGCTAGAGGGGAGGTTTGTGTGGGGATGAGCTAAATGGGTGATGGACATTAAAGAGGGCACTTGGGATGAGCACTGGGTGTTGCACGTAAGTGATGAATCACTGGGTTCTACTCCTCAAACCAATACTATGATGTTAACTAACTTGAATTTAAATAAATACAAATAAAATAATCTTTTGAGATGTACTATTTGTAGGAGGAAAAGGCTCCATATTTCTACTGAGAAGTTAAGAGGGAATCACTAACATTCACAAAGTTTATTTAGAGAATTTTTATACCCATTACTTCAACCAATCTTCACAAACATCTCATATGGGGATGGGAAAAGTAGGCATTAGTATTATGATGCTCATATTTTTAAAACTACAAGTGAATAAATGGAAGCGAAAAAATGATATTACTTTAACTAAGGCTAGGCATTGGGAAGAATCTGTAGGGATTGTGAAACATTGTGAAGTGATTCTCTATGATTTCCCCACTGTGAAAGCATTCATGATGGTATTTTAATCTCAGTGTTTCATGAAATGAAGTGAATGTTCAGAGGGTGCCATATTTCCCTTGCTTCATTTTACATGTATGTGGAGAAGTTTAAACTGGAGCCTTGGTCTTCAATGTGAGGTCCCTAGAGCAGTAGCAGCAGCAGCAGCAGCAGCATCTCCTGAAAACTTGTTAGAAGAACAAATTCTGGGTCCCACCCAGATATACTGAATTCCAAATGCTGGGGTCAGAGCCCAACAATGTGTATTTTCAGAAGCCCTCCAGGTGAGGTGACATCCATTGAAGTTTGAGCCTCATTGAACAGAGTACTATTCCTGGCTTCTCTCTGCTTCCTTCTCTCTCTGTGTCTATCAGTCAGTTAAAGAGACGGTACTGAGCATGCCTAGCTAAGCTTCTTACAGGTTTTTTTTTTTTTTTTTTTTTTGGTGGTTTCCTTTTTTTCATCTGGATCCAACATGCTCACAGGACAAATGCACTCCAATTTGCTCATACACAAGAAAATCTAATAAAAACAGGCTCTCTCTTGTGGTAGGAGGTAGGGTGTGCTCGGCAGTGCTTGTGATGAAGAGTAAGACTATCTAACTTAGTGATGCCAGATTAACAAGCCATTTAGGCTGAGGCTGATGGTTTAATCATTTGTCTCTATGTCTTGAATATCATAGGAGGGGGAAATGTGGTGTTATTTATTGTACCTCTACAACTCCAACAATAGGTTGTAGTAAAAAGTGGGCAGAATGCAGGTTCAGATCACTTGTAGTAGAGACCAAATTGAGAGAAAAACAAGACAGAAGAACAAGACAATATCCTATAATTTTTTTTTAATTTTTTTTCAACGTTTACTTATTTTTGGGACAGAGAGAGACAGAGCATGAACAGGGGAGGGGCAGAGAGAGAGGGAGACACAGAATCGGAAACAGGCTCCAGGCTCTGAGCCATCAGCCCAGAGCCCGACGCGGGGCTCGAACTCACGGACCGCGAGATCGTGACCTGGCTGAAGTCGGACGTTTAACCGACTGCGCCACCCAGGCGCCCCCTATAATTTTTTAACTAAAGGGAACTTTAGAAATTATCAGTTGTGAACCCTTATGTTACAGACAAATAAACAGAGCACTGAGGGAACTGAGGGGCTTGCTGAAGATCACAGTGCTAGTTAGTGGTGGAAACAAGACTAGAACCAAGGACACTTGGCTCTCAGCTGTGCACTTTCTGAACTAGTGGACCAAAGCAGACAATAGTAGAGAAACTTTAAAGTACATGAATGCATACATGACCAAGTAGAAGAAGCAACCCCAGGGATTTGTAGCATGGGAAGTGGGTTCAAAGCCAAAGTACTTTGTGATCAGAGGAAAGATCTGGCTTCAATCTACCTGTGTATGTTCTGTTGCCCATCCTCCCTCCTACTCCCCCCCACCCCCACAGCCAAGCGTCAAGCTACACAACCTGCTCAGTGTGCTCCGACCACTTCTTCGTTTTCCTACTGTTGTTCTCTCTGCCTACAGTCTCTCCCTGCTGCCCATGTGTGGCAAAATCCTATTTGTCCATGGAGAGAGCTAACCCAAATGTCATTCCTCTACAGTCTTCTCTGATTTCACCATCAACTGTCATCACTGTGGCAGCCACAAATGGTCATTCTCCACTCTGAATTTGTAAGACACCTCATTTGTATTTACTTATTATGGCAACACTTTTTACTTTTTGTTACAGTTGTGCTTTACCTCTTGTATTAGAATATAAGCCCCTTAAGGGCAGAGGCCATATTTCATCTTTTCTTTTGTCTTTTTCTAATTTTCTTTATTTTTTATTGAAGTATAATTAACACATAGTGTCATTATATTACTCTCAGGTGTAGAATAAAATGATTTAACAATTCCATACATTTTTCAGTGCTCAACAAGTTAAGTGTACTCGGAATTCCCTGTATCTATTTTACCCATCCTCCCACCCATTTCCCTTTTGGTAACTACCTGTTTGTTCCTTGTATTTAAGAGTCTGTTTTTTTTATTTGTTTGTCTGTTTGTTTGTTTTATTAAATTCTACATGTGAGTGAAATCATATAGTATTTGTCTTTGACTGACTTATTTCACTTAGCATTACATCTTCTAGTTCCATCCATGTTGTTATAAATTGCAAGGTTTCTTTTGTTTTTTGTTCCAATGGTTGATTAATATTCATATATATATGTATATGTATATGTATATATATATAATCTCCTTTATCCATTCATCTACTGATGGACACTTGGGTTGCTTCCATATCTTGGTTATTGTATATAGTGCTGCTATAAACATAATGATGCGTATATCTTTTGGACTTAGTGTAAATAAGAAACTTTTCCATAGCAAAGAAGCCATCAGCAAAACAAAAAGGCAACCTACTGAATGGGAGAAGATATTTGCAAATGATATATCCAATAAGGGGTTAATGCGAAATATACAATGAACTGACATAACTCAACACCAAAAAAAATTCATTCAAAACATGGGCAGATACCAACACACACATGAAAAGATACTCAGCATCATGAATCATAAGGGAAATGCAAATTAAAACTGCAATGATATATTACTTTACACATGTCAGAATGGCTAAAATAAAAAAAAAAGACAAGAAATAACAAGTATTGGCAAGGATATGGAGAAAAGGGAACCCTCATATACCATTGGTGGGAATATAAATTGGTGCAGCCACTTTGAAAAACAGTATGGAGGTTTCTAAAAAAAATAAAAAATGTAATTATTATATACTTCAGTAATTCCCTGACTTTGTATTTACCCAAAGGAAACAAAAACACTTTTTCCAGTTTCTTTTAATATTTTTTAAAGCCAATATGCAGCTACAGACGTAACTGAAAAGTAGATAAGGGGGGAAAAAAAGAAGGAGCAGAGACACATCCTTGACTCACAATAAATTATTACCCCACCAATATCCCATAGGAGACCTCATTTCCATCTGCTAAAGAGTACTCAAAATTATTGTGTAGGGGGACCAGACTGCATTCAGGTATGATGATGTCAAACTAAATATGTATGGGCACTGATGAGATCAAGGTCCACAGTTTTGGCCCTACCTTAAGTGGAGTTGGCCATTCCAACTCCCTCCACACTGTGCTTGATCCCATAGCTGAAATAGATAGCAAGCCCAATAAGCGTGGAGACACCAAATCTGGCCCAGGTTCCAGCTGTCATCTGCATCATAAGGTATACATTCATGAAGATGCTCAGTAGTGGGACAAGAGGCAGGGCAGGGACCTTAAAGTAAAGGGGACTGGAGCTTTGAGGCTGTCTCCAGATGACCCCAGTGATCCCAGTCATGAGCATCAGGAGCACCACAACCACTGAAATCCACACTGGGTCTCCAGAAAGCAGGACTGGCCACTGGGCCAGCACCAGGCAAAGAAGAGTGAGCAGCAGAGCAAGCAGTGAGGAGCAAATATAGACAACCTGGCCAGAGAGTGGAGTAGGGGTGGAGCTGCCTGGAAAAAGTAGTCCCTGTAGAGTTAGCCTCTCTGCTGCAGGTCCATTCTCCTCCTGCACCTCTGCTTCATTTTCCTCATTCCTCCTCTGAGGCTGGTACCTGAGGATGAGAACACAAAGAGCCACCAGGGAGTAAGCTAGCAGGGACCCAAGTGACCTGAAGTTCACAAGATCAGTGAGTCCAAAGAAGACTGCCATGACTGGTGCAGTAATGCTAAAGATCACAGTGGCCACGATGGGAGCATACGTGCCAGTTTCTATCCTGGCAAGAACAGGGAACAATAGGCCATCCTTTGCCATCTTGTGTATCAACTGATGTATGGGTAACATAGAGCCCAAGAGGCTAGATGAAAGACTACAGAGGAATCCAAAAGCTACAACATAGTAGGCAGAAGCCCAACCAATATGGAGAAATGCCTCAGGCAAGATGCTCCCAGGTTGAAGCTTGTAGTAGGGCACCATAAGCGTAAGTGCTGAAGAGACACCAAAATATACCAGAAGGCAGATGAACAGTGAAATCACAATGCCCATGGGGACTGAATGCTGGGGATTCTGGGCTTCTTCAACTCTTTCAAAAATATTGTGGAAACCAATAAATGTATAGAAACAGGTAGCTGCTCCATGGAGAATCCCCTCGAAGCCGAAGGGCACAAATCCTCCAGAGCCCAGGGGGCTCAAGCTAGAGGTGTCATTGAGTCCAGCCGTTATGTAGTCATCTTCTGTGAGCGTCCAGTTGTGCAGATCCCCCTTAATGAATCCAGAGATGATGACAAAATGAAGAACCAAAAGTTTCACCAATGTGATCACTTTGGTAATCAGGAAAAACTGACTATGGTTCAGAGTCTGCAATTCCATAAGCAACAATACAAGGTCCACAACAAAGAAGACTAGATATTCTGCAAGGACTTGGGGAACGTACAGTAAGATTCTCTCACGCAGGGTCTGAGAGATCTGGTTCCCAAGCAGATTGGCAAAAGCTAAAATCCAAGCCCGGGTTACATTGGCTGTATCAGCCACAAGGAAGAAGATGAGGTTCCAGCCAGTGATAAAAGCCCAGAGTTCACCTATAGTGACATAAGTGTAGAGATATGAAGAACCAGAGAGGGGAACTCGGGCAGTAATCTCAGCATAGCACAGCCCAGACAACACAGAAGATAGGCCGGCCACCAAAAAGCAGATCACGATGGATGGTCCTGCTTGATTGCTGACCACCTCACCAGCCAGGACATACACACCTACACTCACTGTGCGGCCTACACCCAGGGCCACTAAATCCAGAGTGCTCAGTCTTCTCTGTGGGTCATCCTCAGCCACTGGTTCCTTGAGCGGAGGTCTATGTACCAGCTTTTGACCAAATCTGCGAAGTGCCTGACGCAGCATCTAGCTGGAATTGAAGAGGATTCCAGGATCAGAAAGCTATAGCAAGCCCAGGAAGCATAGAATCTGGGATTTCGTTCAGTGAGCCAGAGTTAAGCCAAGTTGGGTTGACGCCGCCAAGTTCTGTTGCTCTCAAGGCTTTAAAGCTATTGCTTCGTATTTAATCTGGTATGTGCTATCCCTCTATAATGCCTAAAGAAACAATAAATATTTACTGAACAATGATGTTCAACCAACCACAGAAAAGTCAGAAGTCCCATGTCACTTTTTGCAGCCCAAGAATCACAGAAACTGACACCAAAAGATGTCATAGAAAAATCAATCTTGTTTTTCCCCCCAGAAAAAGTGAAAAATACTTCCTAACATTCTCCTTTTTTACACACCACATAACATAATCCCATTTGGGTTAATCTAATTCATGTAGCTTCATATACTAATTAAACTATAAGACACAATGCAGCATAGATATATTATGGAATAATTCACACATGGGATATTTACATGGTGCTTGAACATGAGTTATGACCCATTAATTCATGGAGTAGAAGGCCTCGCTGCAGTTATAGGACTATTTCTAACTATCATCTGGGTTTAAAATACAAATAGTGTTCCCCGGGTCTTAAAACCCTTACCTCATAATCAGTTAGCCAAGGTCAGATGTCACTTTGTCTCCCTTTACCCTCATTCTGAATCATTCATTTAGCTGTGCTGATGTCACAGAATGTACAGTCCAACCCTTCACTCTTAGCTTCCTATGCCCACAGATGTGATGTGAAGAGAGAGGAAGAGGAAGGAATGGTCAAGGACTGCAAGAACTACCTTCAAGAACTATAAGAACAAGCTGCAGGGTAAGGAAACACTGGAGAAATGAATGCAACATCCAACCAAGAATCCATTACTAAGAACAGAGGAGAGCCAGAAAGGCCATAGTATGAATTCTGGAATTCAGTAAACCTCACCCAAAGCTCCCAGATAAAAATTAACTACAGTTTTACATCCTCAGTTATGAGAGTGTGGTGAGTAGGGAGGAAAGAAGTAAGTTACTTAGCTCAGTAGCTCACAACCAAAACAATTCCTTCTGTCTCCTCTCTCTGGATTTCAGAAGAGAAGGTGAGTTCGCTTCTGCAGACAGTCTCCTTTCTGGCCACAGTGTGCTCTGTAAACACCTCACCATCTGTGATGTCAGCTGATAGCCGCCTGGAAAATCTGCCCTGTTCTGTAAACTTGTATGAAAACACTCACTTGTAACTGTCTACTGATTTTTCACAAGGAGTTATTTTAACGTTCTCAAATCATTGTCTGAATATGTTTTCTTAATTAAGAAAACTTTCTAGTAGTTCCCCCTTTCTCCTCCTCTACTGCTACTATTCAAATGGGCCCCTCTTCAAGGGGAGTGAGGCTTTAAATGAAGAATTCACAGCAATGCCCCAGAAATGAGTAGTGGGGAACAGAAAAGACAAAGTCATGCAGACTTCACTCTCCTCTCTACTCTGGCTTTGGTTTTGAGAGAATTTTAGAAAGTGTTGTAAGAAGTTCTAAAAAACAGAACAAGTCAAAATTGAAATATCTTCTCTATAGGTTATCAAAAGACATCCTTATGTTGTGGTTCTGACCTTCTGTCTACAAATCCATCTAGACTTCTTATTTGCCATCCGCCAGTTCCAATGTTATGATTTACCAACAACATGGGAGATAGATAAGGAGGGTCAATTCTTAAGACTCATGGAACTTTCTATACTATGAATGTGATTGATGTGTCCCCCACCCACCCCCAGTCTTCAAACCCTTCAGTGGTTCCCACTCTCCTTCCTTCATAATTCTTCCTTCCTTCATCACCTCACCTGTGCTGATTCCCCTATCCTCATCCCCTGCCAAGTTCCTGATCCAGCTGTGAAATTCCACACTCACCCTGTTCTCTTGACTCTAATGCCCTCTTATCCCTCCCCTTAGTTAACCCCTACTTCTCTTTCAGTTCCCAGCTCAGATGTTGCTTCCCAAGGAAGCCTCCCCTGACCTTTGTGCTGCCCTTCCTATGTATGCCCTTCCTCATAACACCTGGGCTTCTCCCATATGCCATTTATGCTAATGTATCAAAATTCCAGTGGATGTATGTATCTAAATACACATATAGAACATGGACTGGAAGAGCATTTGTTAAATACACTAAAGCAAGTGCATCCAGTGAGGAGGGGAAGTGAGAAAGAGCTCAGGATGAAAGGGGAAAATAAAATACCTTGAAAAGGGGCCTGACAGAAAGCTATTGTTCTAAAAGTTCATGACTGAGGGAGGGGTTGACTCTACTCAGTATACTTCAGGATCAACAAAGGAACTACATGAGGTGATGTCATGAGAGGATCTGGTTCAGAGCCTGATAAATGGCAGGCACTCAACAGATTTAAATTGAAGGAGAATCAGAATCCTATAATTGTCAGGACATGGAGAATACAGAGAAGGAATACCTGCTAGAAAGAGGGTGGAGAACAAGGGAAGATGGAGCACCCCACCTACTAGTTCTCTCTGAACCTATTTCCCTTTTCCCAGTTCCTCTTTCTCCTTCAGTTCCTTCAACTGTCTCTAGAGGCTTCTTACTGGGCACTAAGGATGCTTGTACCATGTTTCTCTGGGGAACCGTCCCCAGTCACCTACCTCCCAACAAAGAAAAATATGTTTCCTAACATTTGTTCAATCACACACCCCTCTGAGGTTGGTCACCTCAAAATAATGTCATCAACATTCTGAAATCAACCCATGGACCCTGAGCAAGAATCCCAGAGGATGACCATCTAAATGGCAGGGTTGGAGATGGGTAATGAGTTTGATAATTTCTGTTTCATTCAACTATGTTGTGCAGGGTGGCCCTTGAGCTCTTCCCACTTTTACTGAAGATGAGGGACAGTGGATCTGTAGACAAAATATAAAGATATCAGAGAAGCAACCCAAAAGAACCAAATATCTGGGAATTAAAAAAATCATGTTTTATGACTCCAACAGAAGCAGGCAGAACAAAGAGATGAACAAGCAAACTTGTAGAAGAGAAAGCCAACCCATGATTGGGAATACTGAGAGAGTTTACCACAAATTTAGCTTATAACAACACAGAGAAACTTTGTCCTCAAGCACAATTTCAGAAATGCCCTTTCTTTGTGTAGTATTCTGTGGTTATTCCAATGGTTTATATTCAGTCCAGACTTTCTGACCTACCTGTCAGAGCCCCACATTAATTCTTCCCCTATTCTCTGGCCCATCACCTCCTTCCTAACTCAGGTCCTTGCATTCTGACTTAACCTTCCTGGGATGAGCCTTGGGCTTGGGTAAGTTATCTACCCTGCCAGGGATACCCTCCTCACTCCTTTCTTTCCAGTCTTGACCCTCTAGCCTTTTTCAACCCGATTCTGCAACCTTCTCCCTTTCCACTTCTAGGAAGCCTTTCCTAAACCATCCCAACTGGTGCCTGGGTGGCTCAATTGATTTGGCACCCAACTTCAGCTCAGGTCATGAACTTGCGGTTTGTGAGTTTGAGTCCCCACAATGGGCTCTGTGCCGATGGCTCACAGCCTGGAGGCTGCTTCAGATTCTATGTCTCCCTGTCTCTCTTGTACTCTGTCTCTCTCTATCTCTCTCTTAAATATAAATAAATAATAAGCAAAAGTTAGGGGCATCTGGGTGGCTCAGTTGGATAAGCGTCTGACTTCAGCTCAGGTCATGATTTCACAGTTCTTGAGTTCGAGCCCCTCGTCGGGTTCTGTGCTGACTGCTCAGAGCCTGGAGCCTACTTTGTATTCTGTGTCTCCTTCTCTTTCTGCCCTTCCCCTATTCATGCTCTCTCTCTCTCTCTCTCTCAAAAATAAAAAAAAAAGTAAACATTAAAAAAAAGTTAAATAAAAAGGAAAGAAAGAAAGAAAGAAAGAAAGAAAGAAAGAAAGAAAGAAAGAAAGAAAGAAAGAAA